ATCAAATCCGTATCTAGATTTTTTTTGGGTAAATAACTATTTTAACAAAATCAGTTGAATCTTTTGACAAGCTCTGCAATTGACCTGCTCGTCAGCTGACATGCTTAATTTCATGAAAATTCAATTTTAACTAATGAGCGGGTACTAGTTAGTACAGGGTACTTTTAGGTGGGACTGAAACTTTTTAAAGTTTTTCAAAAAATCAGTATTTTTTCGGCCCAACTGGTGTCAGCTCGAAAATTGTCAGCCTTGTTTCCGCTTTAAACCTTTCGTTCAGTTGCTAATATGAAATTCAAATGTCTTTCTTGGCATGGTTGCCAAAAATTCCTGTTTGATAAAAAGGTATTTTGAAAATGTTTGGTATGGTTTTTGGTCTTTTAGGTTATTTCTTAGACGTTTTAGAAAAATTTATCACAATGCAAAAATTTAATTTTAGCTTTTTTTTTTTAAAAAAACTAATACCGATTTTCAATAGTGCCTTAGAAAACCGACCTGCACTCTTGTGTAATTGCATACTCCCCTGATCTTCTTAAGCTTTACTTACCCCTTTGTCTACAGCCTTCAAAAAAGTATGTGGAGGAAAAATAGGACCGATATTTTATATATTTTTTCGTTTTCTCAAAAACTAACTTAGCACATCCGAGATTTTGGTTCCAATTATAAGAACAAATTTGATTGATAGAAGTTGCTACGCCCAAACTTTTTTAACACATAAGACTATGGCCCTCGGTATTGTCAATTTTTTTCATTTTTTACGTGTTTGAGTTTTTAAACTTTTCTCGAAAAATAACGACCCAAACTCAAGATTGTGGTAGATTGTTGGTGGTAGGAAGCTCCACTTCATTAGCAGCATTTCATCATTTTTCTCACAAACAGTTATTGTCTTCGCAAATGTAATTTTTTTTAAGCTTTTTTTTCTAAAATTCATGATTTATACCAAAAACACCCTCTTATATCTGAAGTTTAGGGTTTGATCCAAAAAATAGGTTGTATGAAGTTCGTTTTGACTACGCCGAAGTTTTTTGATACGCAAATTTATGGCCCTCGGAGAAGGCAAAGCTTTCTTTTTTTGACCGTTTTTGAAACTACTCGAGTTTTCTCGAGAACTACCCTGCAATGCCTAGGTTTTTGAATTCAATCGAAAGTACAGGTTGAATGAATCTCTTCTGAATAAGACGCTCCAACCAATTTTGTTAAACACAAAGGTATGATTCTCTGAATTTTCATGATTTTGAAAACTTTAATCGAAAGAAGCGGTTGCACAAATTTTTCCTGTAGAAGCGGCTACTCATTAATTATTGCTTAGGAAAAAATTTTTGACTCTGACTTTTTTATCAGAGAAACAACTAAGGTTTTGGGCAAATCCAATTTTTGAAATAACGCATTTTGTTCCGCATCATTATAACAAACTCAATAAAAGATGAAGCACGTACCTCCAGCTTTAGCTGGGTCTTATATGTCTTTCATCGAGGCATACGAAAATTTTGATCTACCTAGTTTTTTAACCATTTTTCATTTTTTTCGACTTACGCTTTTTTATGGTTGTGTTGTGTCGCAAGTGGTGCGAAGTTCCGTTTCGTCTTTGTGTTGAAACATCCGACAATGTGTAAAAAAAAAAACATTGCAAAATTTGATGCATACATTTGGCATACATTTTTGCTATCATTAGGCTTCAATACTTGTTCTTTTTCCAACTTCGATAAGAAAATATAATAATAAAACATGATAACAAAACATGATTATACAAATTGTTGAAGTTTGAGCCAGACATCCAATTAATGAAATTTTTCAGGTAAATGATCGTATCTTAGACGAATCAAGTTGATTTTTTTGTCCAAACAGGCCAAAATTTTTCTCTGCTCTTTATTAAATTTGGAGTAATTGTTTGGATTTTTGAAGAAAGTGCCGGAATATTTGTGCCCGGTTTTGTTTTTTTTTTCTCTTGGTAAACTTCGACTGTTGAACTTGCTATTTTTGTCCAAAGTTTTTGTACCACTCGAAAAATATTGTTGCACAAAGCTCAAATTGAAAAAATGTATAACCTGTGATTTTTTTCGTAAAGTTATGGCGGTTTACGGACTACCAAATAGTTTTGGCCAAGTTCGGACAATTATCGCACAATACAATTGCCATTAAAATTTAGGGGAAGCTTGTTCACTTGATCTAAGAAGGAGGTGATTTTTCTCATGGAAAGGGAGTTGTGTTTGCTTTATAAAAACTTGATGAAATTTTCAAAAAAAAAAGATAAAAGTAATGGTTTTTTTTAGTTTTTCAAATCATCGCCTACTCGCTATACAAAGTACAAAGTGCCCTATTTTGCATATAGCAAAGTATTAAATAGATCAAACAGCAGGCCTCAAATTTCAGTTAGAAGAAATTTCGGAGACGGCTTAAGTCTCTGTACGCGTTAATAGCCCGGAATGTATCGCGCGTTAATTGTCCCAAATTGGTTGAATTGGCAATTTTTGAACTCTCGTAACCTCACAACAATGATCACAAGTGAAATATTTTTTTAATGTTTGAGCTCAAGACAACAATACTTTTCAGGCAAAAAAAATTTGTCAAAAATTGCTAGTAAAAAGTTTGAAATTGGTCTGGCGAAAAAACTACCCCGCCCGAGCTGAAATTTTCCGCCCTTTTCTTCGAATGTCGGAACAATTACACTAAATTTAAGACCGGTCGGAGATTTTTTTTCCAATTGGCAAAATAATTAGCTTGATCCGTCTAAGATATGATCATTGATTTCTAAACGTTTCATTAATTGGATGTATGGCTCCATCTAAGGTATTGTAAGGATGTATTGGATCCGTCTAAGATATGATCATTGATTTCTAAACGTTTCATTAATTGGATGTATGGCTCGAATTTAAACAACTTTTCTCATATTGTTTTATTATCATACTTTGGATCAACCGTACATACAACCTGCCTCCTAATTGATCTGTTAGTTCTGAAAATTTTGTTCGTATAGTATATACTATATCATATAAACGCACAAAACCCAATTATTTTGAAGTTTTCCTTTCAATTTATATTTTGATGGGCAAGGAAATTAGTCAAAAAACGACATTTTAATTATGTTTGATACTTGAATTAGTTAAGTAAGTCATATAGCATTCTTTTCAAAGTTATCTTGTGAAAATTTGTATTTTCTCCCCCTAAATTGATTGGGGGATTGTACTGTTGATTCCATGTTTTTATAATCAAACGCTGTCCTGTGGCGTTTCTAGGTGCTGTTAGAACTAGTCTTGAAGGGGATTTTAAGGAGCAGAAAATGCCATTCAACTTATAAGATGTCTCATTAGACAATAATAACCTGAAGAGGGTTGAAATGTCCAAAGACTCGTCCCTAACTTATTCGTTACCTCCCCCCCCCCTCCAGCGTTTAGCCGCAAAATAACGAATAAACTGCCGGAGCAAAAACTGGCTTTATCTAAAACTGGCTTTTAGAGGTGCCATTTTTGGTAGTGACGCCACTGACATTCTAAGTCCACTGATTAGGCTATTCTGAATTGAGCTTGCGTGAAATCTGTCAGTAATTTTTAATACGCGTCAACAAATTGTCCCTGGCTCAATTTATTGCATTTTTCCAGCAGTTTTTTTTCAATGAGCAGATGTCCCCTTTTTAACAACAGATCGCTTTTGACAAAAAATGTAGGAACCTTTCTCTTACGAATAGTGACAAATACGATTTGACTGCAATGATGATTTTGAAAAAAATGGTAGTGATTTTTTTCTCTCATCTGTGTGAAAAATTTGCGACTTTGAAAGCGTATTGATTATTGTTGATGCCTTATAATGTAATTTGGAGTGTAATTCGAATTTGGCCCCTGAGGCAGGAAATAACGGAGCATATCGGGGAGTATAGGTTATTAATAAAGAACAAAGAGCTAAAGCGCTCTGCCAATCAACCAAATCCGAGCATTGTTGGTGAAATATTGCTGGCCATCAGTTTTCAAATCAGAGTCCCATTTGGTAATAATAACAAATCAAAAACCAAACCAATTCAAATCCAATTTCCGCTAACAGCCGCTGTCCGGTTCGCTGCTGTTAGAGAGTCACACCATTACTGTATTATCCCTTCATCAGCACACTTTTTGTCACTTTGATCGGAAATTTTTGACTTAATCTGAATCCCCGGGAACTTGACTTCCTTTCGCTACCCCAAAGCGTTTGCCCTTTAGAAGTATTTTACGACATTGTGTTTGCTGGACTGAATGTACAATTTCTAAAGGAGACTTTCCTGACAAAAGTTACTAAATTTGAAGCGAGTGCCCTGTGAAAACAGGCAATTTGTGGTTCAGATCTTCCCAAAAAAAACCCAAAAGTGGCATATTTTTTTCGGCAAAACACAGCATTAGGAGTGTTTTGACAGAAAACTATCAAAAGATCAAATAAAAATTTGAACTTTTTGAAAACTTTTCCCTTTTGAAAAAGGACTGATTGATCCAAATCTGGTCTGACTTTTAAAAATTACTTCTATTTATCCTTTCTTTTTTATTCAACACTGAGTTCAGCTGAACTTCAAAGGCATATAAATAGCCTCACTAAAGTGCCTAAATATACCATTTAGGGCGAAAACAGGTGACGCAGACATTTTGGCTTTAATACTTTTTGGTGTTTCAAAAGAGTTTGGAAACCCAATTTGCTCGACCTAAAAACGGTCGAAGTTTTTTGAATTTTGTTTGAAAATCCGCCCCTACACCAAATTTTTGGATCTGACCATGTGTGGAACTTAACAAACGTGTCATTCGCTAGTATCCAGTCTTTAAAATGTTGATAACTTTGCAGTACAAATTGTATTTTTTGGTTGCTAAAAAGGTTCATCTGAAAATCAAAGCAAATTTAAGGCCAGAAAATTTTCATGGTATTGGCATAATTGGATTGTTTTGCTTGGGATAGTTTTTTCTCTGATATGCATAATTATAGCATATAGCAGCAAATAATCTGTTTCTCGCGACTCGATTGAACGTTTTTTATTTGCCGTATTCTTGTTTCAGAATATCGAGAATCATTCAATATCTTTTATTCGGGTCGCTAAGCAAAGCTTTACAACGCCGCCTTTACTCGCAATAATTCGGACAGAAAAGAAGACGATAATATTTCGCGAAGACAAAAAAGCAGACGCGGGGAGAATAGTTAGTGAACTTGATACTTGGACTCTTGAGGATTCTTGTGAAACCGTCCCATGTCCAAAGAGCATTTCAAATCCCATATTGCCAGTAGTTTGGGACTATGTCCGATTCAAGGATCCAACACTCCGCTAGTCTCATCGCTACGCTCCGCCGGCGATCACAGCAGAAAATCACACCCTGATTCAAGAAGTTTTCAACCGGCTACAAGCAAAATTTCTCCTAGTAGAACTCACAGCCGATCGTTAAAACCATCAACTAATAGTAGTCAATACAGTCCAACTTCTGCAGCTCGGAATGAGTCGAAATACAATCCAACCTCAGAAAATTACAATTATCATCGACACGGAAGCGAAAACTTGGGTCTTCTAAAACCGGCGTATACGAGCCGGGACAATCTTAGCAGTCCAGGTCAAAATACAGATCAAGTTGTAAACTACTGGCTCAACTCCCGAGTTCCTACATCGACAACAGTTACGACAACTAGTTCTTCTTATTTGAAAATCTTGAGTCCTGACTCGGTTTTTGAAGGTCCAAATATGTACCCAGGTAGTTATCTCAACAACCAGACGTCTCAGGCGAACTCGGCCTCGTTTAACGTCCAACAAGCTTCGCAGTTGGCGTACCATCCTCAAAGTGTGAACCAAAGTGGTGGAATTTTGTACCCGGGACAGCAGAACTTTTTTACCGGCCAGAGTTCTGCAATTCCACAGCCTGGCATGCCTTTCCTTAGCACTCTGCAGCCTCTGCAAATACCGAATAACTCAGTTCAGCTCACTCCCCAACAAATAAGCCAATTTAGCGCGAACCCTGCGGTTATACAGAGAAACGTTGCTCAAATGCAGCAGTCTGCAAATCACTTGGGCGGTCAGGGACAAATTTCAATTCCAATGAGTCAATTTCCTCAACAGCCTCAGCATGCTTCCTCCTTCTCCGGCATTTCGGGTTTGAATCCTTCCAGCGGAGTTTTTGGGCAACCCTTAGGCATGACAGTTCAAAATCAGTCATTGGCCCCATCTAGTGGTGGCTTCGAAAACGATGCAGATTGGCGCTTCAGAAGAAGCAAAGAAATGTTTGACCAGGCTCAAAGAAGTCACCAGCAACAGAGGGTACAAGATCCTTACCTAAAAGCCAATAGTTCGAGCACTTTTGGGACCCTACAAACACCTGGGAACCTGGGGCCTCTGAATCATTCGGGAACTTTTCAGCATCTACAGCAACCGCATCATTTAGCACTTGGGAAAACCCATTCCTACATAGACGCAAACTTATCACAAGTGAACTCCGCCTCTAATTTAAACAATCTAGCAGGCTTGGGCCAGAGTATACGCAACGTCGGCAACTCAAATCCGGCTTACGCCGCCACCTCAGACAATCTTCCAAGCATGCATGGGACAAATCGAGGTCCCCCTCCTGTTTCTTCCCGTCAAAACTGGTCCAAGTTTAGATCCAAAAGTTTCGATCACGAGGACCTTCTAACATCCAACCAGTCGGTTTTTGGAGCAGGCAGTGCACATATGTTCAGTGGGAGTCATAACCCTGGAATGGATCACATGACTTCGACAAATCACGGACCAATTTCAGACTCCTTAGCCGGTGTATCGGGTAGTTCTGGATCCAGTGGTGGGTATGGAATTCCAGTAGATCTGGCTTACAAACTTCACGCTACTCACCAGCCTAGTTCCGACTCGCATTTAAGTCATTCCATTGGGACTAGTGCGCATAGTTTGCACGGTGCTCACGCATCGCACGCTTCGCACGAACTGCAGCGCAATAAATCCGTCTCATTTGACATTCCCAGCCACGTTGAACCTTACTTGGATTTCGACGAAGCTTCAAAATTAGCACAGATGTTTCCCAATTGCGCCGAGTGTCAAAAATTGGAACAAGACAAACTTCTATATCGGCAAGCGCTGAGACTACGAAAGAATAATTCTGACAAAAGCCTTCACGAGTATATGCGCTCGGGTTTAGACCCGAGAGCTTCTTTCCCGAACCCAGTCGAGGACCGAAGACTCAAAGATCTGGCCCAACTTATTTCCGAGACCTTCTCCGAACGTCTCTTAGAAGAGGAGAGAGACCGAGACTCTTTGTACCCGGGCAAATCTGCTTACTCACGGAGAGCAGACTCGGATTACGGCCCGAGCTCTCTCTACACACCAGTTGGGCAAAAGATACCAGCTACTCAACGGAGTTTACCTGGGAGTAGCAAATGGGCCTTGACTTCGGCAGGTGATCTACTAGATGATCACGTGCAGATGAGTCCCTTAAGTGGGTACAATTCTATGTTGCGTTCTGGGAAGAAGAGAAGTGGTGCAGGTAGTGGAATCCTGAGGGGGTCCGAGTACGACTCATTGCCTTCGTACAAAGACAGTTCTCAATATTTGAACTTAGAAGGCTAGTAAACGTTTGATTTTAGAAAGCCATGATATTCTCAAGTTAGATTGAGCAGAAACATAAACTAAGGCAATATTTTGCTTACAAAATTTTCTATCAACATGGGATGGCTTTACTTGAATACTTGAGTATCAGCAAAAAAAATTCCTCGAAGAAGATTATAATCCATCGTTGCAGTTTCATCAAAATTAACAATAGGTAGTTTTATGAAAATTACAAGTGGCTTCTATTTTTCTCCAAGGAGGAGATAGGTTTTTCTAAATGGAATCAAAGCAGAGTCAATGCTCGTATTTTCAGGTCTGTCCCTTCGTGGGAGAAGCAGTTCCCGCCAAATGGGCAATTCGGGTCGCACTGCTCGGGATCTTTCACTTGCGTCTGGAATCGGAGGTCCCGGATCCCTGTCGGGAGGCATTGGAGGCACTGCACCTTCTGGCCGACACTCAGCTTATGCTTCTGATATGGACTCCTACCTCTATGACCGGGAGCGATACGGCAGTGTGAATCTGTCCCGTTTCAGCGATTCCAGGAACCCCCCGAGTCATCCCGTTGATTTGGCGGGAGGCGGGGATCGAAGGCGGAACCTAAAGGATATCCGCTATTCGAGGGACTACGAATTCATACCACGAGCCGAAGATATGGGATACTCAGGAGGAGGAGGAGGAGTTCGCAGATCAAAGGCAAACTTGTCACCGACATTTATGGAAAACCACACTGGAGAAATGGGTCCGCGAAGACACTCACCGAGGCAAGAACCACTGTTTTCAACCCGGCTTTGAGTTTCCTCCAGTTTTTCAAAATGTCATTCAATATCTCATAAATTTTTTGAATTAAGTAAAATTTTGATTGTTCAAATACTACTTTTTTGATTTTTCACAGATCCCGGAAATCTTCAGATGCATATAACAGTTCATCGGTCTACTCTCGGCACCCGCCGTCTCATCGCAAGGGTCGCAGTAGCTCGGCACGCGAAGATGAGCTGGCTTACCATCGGAACGACAACACATATATGAACACTGACTTCATGGATCATCAAAATCCGCCGCCTCCAATGAACGCCTCAGGTCCATCCTCCACTCGAAGTCGTCAAAGTGCTCGGCGCTACGTCAGTGCAGCCGGAACTCCGGGTCAGGCCAATAATTCTTCGGGCTACTACAACCCTCCTTCTCACTACAACTTCGGCGACGAGCGGGAAACGTACCGACGTGGAAGTAGCAGTGATTCTGTGGAACGACTGTCATCTCCTGAAAGAATGGGTGGCCAGCGCCGATCAGGGCGAAGATTCCAGGGACGAAATGGAGAACCTCTTGGTCCCCCGGGAAACGATTACAGAGGTCACGAAGACAAAATCCCCCCTCGAAGGTCAACTGGCTTCAAGGATGATCCAAGAATCCCTGGCAGAAATCAGAGTTTTGGATCGGGACCCACCGACCAACATCCGGGAGGCTCCAAGAATAAACCAAACTTCGGACCACCAGCTGACAATTACTCAATGAATGGATCCGACCGTCAGAAACTGTCCGAAGTCCCCCCAAACCACTCAACAGAGTCCGGTTATAGTTCACAAAGTCAGCACACCGCAATGAGTCGCGATGACCCCCGCAACGGTGCAGGGGGAATGGGTCCCCCTCCGCATATGGGAAATCAGCCACAGGCAAGGATGCGACCGCAGCATCATCCGGCAGGGAATGACCAAGGCATGATGGGCGCCCAAAACTCGGGACCGATGCCCCGTGTTGATCAGGATAGTATGGGGAATAATCGGGGAAAAGCAGACCGATGAAGGAAGTTTTTAACAAATTCGTAAATTAACCAGATAATTTTTTGGGAAAATTGAACTGCAGTTAAGTCCAGTTTTGCATTTTTCATCCTAATTATAATCAAATTGTAAATTTAAAATTGTACGTTTCGAAACTGCGAAAAAATTTATCACGCGTCTTTGCTTGTTTTACATACACGACATGACTTGGTTCATGCAATATTTTACGACATACTCTATTTTGTAAATGATGATTGATACTAATAATACATTTTGACAGAGGTGCTAAAGTTAAAGGAATTCCAAATTAATATTTTTGAATTTCAAATTGTGTTTTTGTTAATTAATTTAATTTCGCTGGATTTAGACCGATTTAACTTTTTTAAAAAATCAACAGCATAAACTCAACTGATGTATATCCTTTTATGGAAACAGAAAAATTGGATCGACTTTACAATTTCTCCTCCCCATTGAAAGAAAGGGAAAACATTTTTGTAAGTTTTTTAAATCAAGACAAGAGAGTTTTTGAGCAAGTAATAAGCAACAATAATAAAAATCCCAAAAGCTAAAAAGCGGTCAATGCAACAGCTGTTAGTTATATAAATATAAATGAACTTTAGGGAAGAAAAACTCTATTTGTTAACAGTTTTTATTTGGAGGAGGTCAAAACAGTCGAAGAAAATTTCGAATGCCAGATTTCGTAAACTGTACCCAAAAAAGTTTAGTTGACTCTATGCCAATCAGCTGTAATATTCAGTGAACACCAATTAAATAGATTCCCGCACTGGAGTTTCATTGGAAATAATCGATTATATTGGAATAAAATAGCACAAAATTTAACCATATAATCGATTTTCATGACACATCCAACTATAAAATTGACTTCTTAGGTGATTGTAACAGATAAGCTTCAACATTTAAAAATTCACACCTGATTTTTTAGGCCACAAAAATCCATAAAAATTGATTTTTTTTCTGACGAAAATGAAACGTTTGGCGGAGAACTTTGCACAATTATGTTTAATAAACAATCCGCAGACATCAGAATGCTAAAAAAATTAAAAATCATGTATGAAAATGTAAATGAAAATAGAAATAACAGGGCCTTTTTTTATAATTTTCATTTTTCCTTTCTTTTCTCCTAGTGCTGTTGTTATAGACTGGTACTGTTGTAGGTTATCTTAAACTATATCCCGCAACCCCCCTCAGGACAGAAATATCCAACCCCCTTAAAAAAGTAAATCAACGGTTAAGCCTATGAGAAATTTATACCTAGTAACGAATCTCACCCCTTTTGCAAAAGGGGGTATAGTTAAAGATATGCCAGCTAAAGATCCCATCGATTATTTTTGTAATTTTAGAGAGACTGACGATGAAAATGCAATATGATTGAGTATTATCCATGAAATTTCTAGGTGAGCTACGTATCAGAAGAAACACAAAAAGAACTAAAATATTTCCTCACGGCTTCTTAAACCGTTCGCAAAAATATATCCATAGTTAAAATCTATGGAAAATAAAAAAGAACAAAATTGATAGTTTTTTATTGCTCTTTAAAGTCCCAGGTATAACAAGTTTTGTTAGGGCACAGTGCCTTTTTTAAGCCAGATAGCCAGATACTTTAAAAATAGCACAGAAGTTTTCGACCATAGTCCTAAGAACCACACACAAAAATTCAATTTAGTGTTGTTTCTTCGTGTTGTGTGATTTAATAAAAGGATCTAGAATTTAAACGAAAAGCTAACAAATAAGCATATTTGACGGTCATAGAAAAATTGACTCAAAACACAAAAAAAAACATAAAATTTTTTTAATGACTTTTCGATTTTCAAAAAAGCCTTATAAACTTAGAAAAAACATTACTTGAGTAATAGTAAAATTGAGCAAAAAATAGCTTATGTAAACGTCTTAGATTAAAAATAAAAAGCAGGCTCACACGCCTTACGCGCTTGAATATAGACGAAAAATAAAAAACTTTATGCCGTTTTTTCTCGGCATTAAGGCTTTTTCTCTGAAGTTTTTTAATGTCATTCAAATCACGACTGAAAAAATTTTAATATGATATTTCAAGCAAAACAGTCCGGTAGTTTTTTGTGGTACCTGACTTTGCGAAAAAAAGACTTTCCTGAATACAAAGTTTATCCCGATTTTAAATGGTCGAAACAAAATCTCAAAAAATTATTCAAAACGTCATAGCATAAACGTGTGGGTTTTTTTCATAAAGTCAGTTTTTTTTCACTGGATGCGCTTACTAGGTTTTGACGTTAACAAAAACGTTAATTTGTCCGCAAAACATTTTTGCCTGTTTTTCTAAAACAAAAACCTTAACTGTAATCTTTTTTTGAAAAGTGGCAGGGGTCTATAATTGATAATTGGATCAACTTGGGATAGTAAGCGCGCGATATCTTAAAGTCATAGAACACGCATAGAACAGCGGCTGATGGGTTTTGAACAGCGACTGATGAAACAGTTCCAAATTGAATTGAGACAAAGCGTTTGGTGTTCTTTTTAAAATTCGAAACCCTAAATACATTCTTTTGTACTCTAAATTACAACTGGAAGAAGAGGGAGATAAAACGAAGAAAAAAAAATATTAAGAACTATCAGTTTTCAACCTAAAAGTTTTTAACCAGTTTTAAAATGCTTTCAAGTTTTTTAGTCGGAATTTTTCATAAAGAGCGGACCATTCAATTTTTCAGCTAGTCTGCCTCTATTTAATTTGGAACAATTTCTGAGCCAGTGTTTGCTGACATGTTTTGTCCCAAAAAGCTAAATTGGCTTTTTCAAAACGACCATAAATCTACTAAAAAAGATCACAGGAAAAATACCTTCGAATTTTTAGCTCCGGGCGTTTATATATAGTATTCAGATAGTATAGAATTTTTTTTGTCAATACGAGCTAGTCAAAATGCGAACAATTGTCCAAAAAAACAATACCAAACATTAATATTGAACTCTTTCTTCAGAATTCTGAGCAACAAGACTGGTTGTATCAGGATGAAGATCTAATTCTTTCTCGAGGGTTAGTAAAATTTTTTGGTTAAAAAACTCTGCTCAATTTTTTCATGATCTTTTTTTTTGCAGCTTAATGCACTATACTCTATACTGCTTTCCTCAACTCAATTTAGAGTGTATAGTTTTCCACTTAAGAAAAAATCTTACATTTTTTGCTCGTTAACTATCTCAAATAGGCCAAAATTTCAATTTCATAAGCACATAAAGCTTACAAAAAGCTGTCGCAGCTGATATTTTCAATTTGATTATTATCAATATGTTTGAATGTTAAAAAATCTTTTAATAAGTGAAGCAAAATATTGCCTTTTTTAAATATAAACCACCACCCTAAAAAAGGTTACTCATTTTATGTTTGACTTGAATGTTTGACTGCTTTTTAAACAATAAAAAAATTGTTCTTTGAAAACTCATGAACAATCAGAAACGCATGGAAAATTTTTGAGAGCTCTTTTTGTTAATTTTATCTTCCTTCACGCTAGGTAAAGTACAAAATAGAGCTGGGAGGGTTCAAAAGTTGCAAATTTGAAATAAATAATGCCAAGTTTTCCAGTTTTTTTATAAGTTTATAAACGGTTTGCGAAGCGTATAAAGATTTGGGTTGCGTATAAAAGACAAACAAGATACATTATGACAATTATTGCGGAGTCTGTCAAACTTTCTGTTGGCGGAATTCACTACAGAGTCGGACACAATTTTCCGATCTATTAAATTTTTTTCTTGTCGAGAGAGTCAAAACATACCAAAAAATTCAAAACTTTCTAATGCGGGGTCAGAGGGTCAAATATAGTTCTTTACGCTCAATTTATCGGGATTTGGAAAACGTACACATAATGACATCAGAACATAACAATAAATTTTAGAAAGATGGAGCAACGCAAAAGTAGACCCAGCAGGTAGGAGGCAAAGAAAATATTTAGAAAATAGATCAGATTTGAAGCCAAAAATCTGCAATAAAATAATGGAAATTATCAAAATAATTCAGACTTTGAGAAAATGTTAGGGTGTAAGAAAATTACTAAAACTCATATAATACAAAAAAACTGTGGGCTGGGTGGGTGTGGGGCTATAATGAATGGCAACTGTTTTTTATTTCCGTCTCGACAAACCAGATTTTCCACGGCAAACTTTCCTTGAGTTGGCTGTTCTCTATCTTTTGAACGATTCATTTGTTGTTTCTGCAGCATACAAAGTCCAAATATTCCATTTCTACTATTTTCCCCAAGAAGACGACAGTTTTCTTGTTATATCGGCTGTGGGGTTGATACGGAAGGATGATGATGATGAATTTTTTTAAAATTTGTATCTATTTATTTTTTTTCTAATTTGGACCGCAAAAACCAAATTAGCTGCTCAAAATTTTTCCACAGTCGAATATGTCTCATTCAATTTTTTTTTGAGAAATTGTCAAATTTTCTGTAATTTCAATATTAATAAGCTATTTTTAAAAACTTTGTATCTCAAACAAGTCACCTATCAAAACTTTCAAACAAACTCAATTTTTTTAAAATCTATCAATTTTTAAATGTATTTGATCTGTATTACATGTTTTTATATTTTGTCAAATTTTGATTACAATAACTTGATAGTTTGCATGGATTTCAGTTACCATTGAATCGATAATTAAAAGTATAACTGGCCATCGATTGTAATTGAATTCATTGTTGAAATTTTTTTTTTTAGTTAAAGCATAAAAAAAGCTAAATCATTGAAACTTAGAATTGAATTATTAAAGCAACAAAACTAACTAAATGTAACCCATATCATTCAGTTATTTAAAACATCGGTAGATTGAAGCATATAGCACAGATGAACTTATGAAAGAAATTATCTATTTCGAATCAAAAGGCAAGTCTGCCTCCTTTGCTACCTTGCTAGTTCAAAATTATTTGCAAGGTTGCTGATCTGACCATTTTGATTTCTGATTTGAATCAGTCAATCTCATTCAACTCTTGCCGTGTTATATATAGATTTCCGATCTTATACTTAGATTTACCAAAACTAAAGAATCAAGAAAATGGCTACGTTTCGACTACGAGTACGAGTTAGACTAACAAGAGTCACGTGACATAGACGTTGCAACTTTTTTATTTCAACGAGAAAACGAACGAACTTTTTCTTCATGCTCTGTTCCTTTTATCTGCAACTATTTAAGATACAGCAAAAAAAAATGGATAGAAAAGTTGATCTCATAAAAACCTTGTTTTTCCGGTATTCTTGCAGATACATTGGGACCAGGAAATAGGGGTACATTTAAGATCACTATTGGAAAAACAGTT